AAAAAAAAGAAGAAATCCCAACAAGGTGAGTCAAGCTAATAGACTAAAACGAACGTCATCGGGCATTGATCCGGGAGGGTCATCATCACTTTCATAACCATTGTCCTGCTTCATTCTGCCGTGTGTGTACAACAAGTAGGTATACCTTTGTCGCTCGATATCAACATTAAACTTCTTCGTAGTAATGTCAACATCGGTTATGAAGTGCTCAGCGTAAGATGCAACAAAAACACCACAGTCGCTGCATTTAGAAAATATAAGAATCAGATATAAATTATGTAGAAAATATTATAATCAGATACAATCAAGAGTAATTGTCGCTATAATTTTCTACTATTTAGTTGTGGTTGGGTCTGCTAACCTTTCCTGTTGCTGTGGGATGTTGGCCGCCATGAAAACCTCGAATGGACTGTTAACGTCTGATGGTATGCGACCCCCAGCATCAGTGTTGACATCAGTCCTTTTTTGGTAAAATTTGACCAAGGCAAGAAAAATTGGAAGCAATGTAACATATGCCTGCACACTTTCTAGAACAATCTCATCAAATTCAACCGACTGGTACGAGTTATAGACCCAAAAATTCATATCGTTGAATGACAATCTACCCAGTATCCAATGACCAACATCATTGAGTTGTACGTGCATCGGAAACAAGATGTGATCAACATCAAACCATGACTTCCCGCATATAAGTCTATAACCCATAATGTAGTCAGTGATAATATCATAAACACTGCATAGAGCAGTATTGCCCGACTGTGACTTATATAGAGCATATAACGACTTTATGTGTTGGTCAAACATCACATCAGTCGTCGTGTACCTAACCTCAGCACTAGTACCATGCACACCAATCTTCCGTAGATAGTAGAACAAGACATCCATGTGCTGTTAATGGAAAAAATTATAAAAAACAAACAAAAATTATATAGCCAATATATATACATGCATATATGAAACAGTGGAATGCTTGAAAATAAATGAATACTGATTTGTTAAAACTTACACTGCTATCAAGGAAGCATCCTGACTCGTAGAGGGTGTAAAACCAATTTTTGTCACATATAACGGCGACGTTAAAGTCAAATGGTGGGTTCAAAACTTTGGTTCTCACACCAAAGCGAACGAATCTGTTGAATTAGTTAGTTGTGTCAGGAAATTATAAATATTAATATATCACATAAACAAGCAATAAAATAATTTGACCATTTATATTAAATATTATGATGTAGAATGTATACCCCCACAATTTACTGTTCAAACACGTTTCATAGTTCGTCCATTTACTAAATACAGTGGATATCTAAATGTGAATTAATCATGTCCATAAAATGTTCATATGCTGCATATAAACTGTGTTCAAACCGACCGTTGACTACATTCTTCAAGGAGCTACATATATTGAACAGTAATTGTATGTAAACTGAAAATAAAGTGTATTAAAATGTATATAGAACAATTCTATTGCCCATAAAACAAATTCTAAAGTCAAAAATGGTGGTTGCTAAAACTTTGGTACATATACTGAACAGAAACTGTTCATAACCTGCCCATAAAACAAATTTTGTTGCTATTCAAATAATAATGAACCAAAAAACAAAAGAAGAAATTATTGAATACGCATGTAAAATTAATGTACTGTCCATATACTGGCCAACTATTTTTCATAAGGAAAAAAAAAAAA